CACCTCTTTAACACGAGTGTGCCGTGCTACAACACCATGTACACTCTATGGCGAGTATGTTAGCAGGGTGCTTACGCACGCGCATGGCCTAGCAGCCACCTGGGTTCAAACCCCAGCAGCAGCAGTTGCATCCCGGATCTTGATAATATAAATCTGGGAGCGGGGCGGGGCAGCGTGGGCGCGTGCGGCGGCCTTGGCCTTTCACTGCGCTCGTGGTGGCACCTCCCTTTTTCGCCACGTGTCACCTGCAGCATGCGCCACTTTTTCCCCTGATTTTCGCTGCGAAATACCCGAAAAACACCGAAAGCACGCGCTCGTGGTGGCACCTCCATTTTTCGCCACGTGTCACCTGCAGCATGCGCCACTTTTCTCCCTCGTTTTCGCTGCGAAATACCCGAAAAACACCGAAAAAACCCGTTGTCGGGTTTTGCTGCTTTTCCGCCTGTGCGGGCTGCTGCCCAGCTGTACGGGGTGGTGGGAGGGAGCGGGGACCGTTCCCGCTCCGATACCAATGTAGCGGACCCACCAGGTTTGGTGCTCCGCTAGTGGTAGAGATGGAGATGGAGGAAGAAGGGGGAGCAAGATGACGCACAGCGCAGCTCCCACGCAGGACTCCAACGCACGTACTCCTGAAATGTGCAAGTGAAGAATGAGCCTGAAAACAGACAATGGCTGGGGTATACCCCAGCGGACTGATGGGACTGGACTGGACTGGCTGGTACCGACAGAGGTACCGACCTGGACTGGCCTACCCCGAATACAACACAGGCCTGTGAGAATAGGCCAAGGGGCTGGTCTCACAGGCCAACCCGAGGTCCGCTACACTTGTGGTCCCACAGTTTGTCTGGCTGTTCCGTAGAGCTACTCACAAATCTTCCCTGCAATGGCTTGTGATGCCATGGTCAGTGCTTTACCTGTGCTTATGGAAAAAGGAAAGAGATCTTAGCTCCCCTCCTCCTCTCCTTAAACCACCAGTACTTGGCCCAGCTATCGGCCGCAGAAAAAAATAGAGTAGAAACGTTTCTAGTTGGATGAATTTGGGCGCTCCTGTAGTGGCCCGTACGTTTCCTAAAATTGCGTAGCGTTAACACTACGCGACTTTAGGAAGTACTGGTGGTTTAACACTGCACATGCCTGTGGAAAGGGAGCTTCCTTCCAAAACTGGTACTAACCCATGGATGTATGGCATTGTATGCCCAACCCCAACTATATGTGGGTTTGGGCAAAAAGCCCATGGGCTAGTCTCCTCTAGAGTATTTTGAGTGTTTTCCTACTAAGTCTTTTGTTGAAGTTTGGTGTCATAACCTCATTGGCAGAAGCACTCCTTCAATCACTGAGTGGAGTGTAGGGAGGGTGTCAGGATGACATGATCATCACTGCCGGCAGACTCTTACCCAAAGTTAAAGGCTTGTGCTCCACTCCGGGGTCTTCAAGTTGGAGGAATTCCTTTTCTCAAATTAAGAACAGCTGCATGATTCGCGCAAGAATTTGTGAGGCTCCACCTAACGGCCCTTTCGGAGAGTCTCATGAAAATACGAAAACAACGCCTTGCAGCATGGGCGAATAGGGCTCTCCATTCCACGGTGGCCAGAATTGTGGCCTGAATCGTGATGCATTTGAACCGGTTCTCAAGGAATTCTTGGAGTACGATACTGCCACACCTAGTCTCAATTTAAGAACCCCTGAATAAGCACCGGATAGTGGAGAACAGACTCTGGGGAGAACTTGGGCTTTCAGTGAATGTCAGTGATTTTTCAGCAAGTGCAGCCGAGATCCCAGAAAGGGAAAAAGTGTGAGTGGAGCCCGCAATTCGTCGAGGAAAGTCCTCGAAGAACTGCAGAAAGGTGACAGATAAATTAAATATCGTTGTCACAGTGGCGACATGTGATCAATTGTGATCTGATGGCTGAACAGCACTGGTCTATTATGTCGGGGTGTGAGCTCTCTATTTCTTTTAAATTTGTCTTTCGTTCCTTTCTCCCATTTTTCTCTGCCAAAAAAATTGTAATGAACCTGGCAGACTTGTCATATTGA